GTAAGCAATGGCGTCCACAAACACCAACTTATGGAGCCAAAAGTTGAGATTATTTCCAAACAGAACCCTCTGAATGCCGTCGTGAATTCCCAAGTCCTGGACGACCGTAGCATGGAAAGCCCGCAGAGGACTGGGTCCAAAATGGGCCAGAACTTCTGAAGATTTTGTGGTGGCAAGAAGAACCGGTTCATACGTTGAGTGGTTAGACTGGAAAATTGTCCAATCGTCTCCTGGCAAAGGGCCCTGCTCTACCTGGTTTGGTTTGGTGATGTAGAGCAGGGGAGCGGTGGGGTTAATGTGGTAGTCCCTGAGTCCCAGATGTGAGTGTAGGAAGAGGGGAAAACCTTTGAGCTGTGCACTAAGAAGAGAGTTCTCATTGGCTTTATAGAAGCCAATGACACCTACTCCATACTCCACACAGTACTTGTCCAGCAAGTCTCGGTTCCACACGTCCAGGTTGACATATTTCAGTACATTCTCAAAGATGATCAGTGTGTATCGTCCCCGGTTACGCTCCGTCAAAGTGGGCATGTCCCCCTTACTGGGAGCGATCTCCGTGCGGTAATGGAAGCGACTCGACTCCAATATGGCGACAATCTCTTGACCCAACTGGGAATAGATACTCTCCACAAACACCAGAACCACAGGCTCTGTCCTGGAGCTGTCCATTGCTTTCACCTGTCGTTGTCGTTGACGAACAGGGAGGAAAAGTGGATTTCTTTGAGCACCATTTCCTGTTCCTAAAGGCCCAGCGCTAACCCCCAACGGCACCCCCCCCCCTCCACCACAGTCACTGAAAGGCAGCGGTGGGGGCTCCTTGATTTTGGGGCTGTTGGAGACGTAGTAAGCTAGGAAAGCCATGGACAACAGGCAGAAGATGATGAGTGCCAGGATGAGGCGGTGGAGCTCCAGTTGGCGAACGCCCCGCATTAGCTTCAACACACCCAGGCCCACTGCCACCATGATGCTGGAAAGGGGAGTTAGGGTGGGTAAAAGGCCTTCTGATACGGGGTGTAAAGGAGTAGTGACCGGAGGAGAAACTAGGGGACTCAGCAATAGAGACCGTCACTGAGCTGTGCTTAAGAATAGCCATTTACTCTAAGTCACCATGGCCAACATCGTCAACTTCCCAACACTTATTCCTAACTCTGAAGTGCAAAAAGACACATTCAGACTACATAGATCAGTCCAACGTTTCACCCCAGTTACTTGCTTTAATAGATTAGTCCAACGTTTCACCTCAGTTACTTGCTTTAATAGATTAGTCCAACGTTTCACCTCAGTTACTTGCTGAAATAGATCCGTCCAATGTTTCACCTCAGTTACTTGGTCAGTTCTTTATTTCAGGGTGCTCTGCAGAAGTCTTTGAATGAGTACTGGTACATTTCCATGTAGTCCACAGTGGGAGTGTCACAACTTCTGGTCCGAATATCCCTGCTGGCCTTGTGAAGACATCTTGGAACAAAAGAAAAACACATGTGAGAAAAGAAGGAGATGCTTCAGCTGTCAACAGGTAATTATAACTGTAACTTTTTCATTAGGATTTAGGGTTAATAACCTTTAAACGTTTTTAAAAAACTTTCCCTTCTCATATTCACTGGTAGACTGAAAAAACTGAAATTTAATATCAACACTGATTTCATTCATGTCCTTAATAAGAACATTGATTTATTTAGAATAAGACAATACTAAGATAATCAGATAGGATGGTGAAATATTTTACATTGATTCATCCATGAATCAAGCAGCCAATATGTCTGTAAACGTATTGAACTACAGTATATATATGTGGCATCTTATGCCAGTTTCCTGGTGTCTGCATGCTTCTGTCTTCCTGAGCTGACACTCACACATTTTTCTCCCTGAAAACCCCTGAAAAATAACGATTACATAAGTCAGTGAGATCTCAAACATAAGGTTTGACCTATAAATACACATTTTCCTGATGATTAGCGAGAGTCAGTTCTTTAAATTATATTTCTTTGACTAAATATAATGTTCCTCAAATCAAATGATGGTTATTACAAAGAACATCAAACTCTTACATTGCATTTTAACATCCTACCTGATCAAAACTATTGACCGAATAATAGCAAGCCTTCATTTTAAAACCGGACATATATATTTAGATAAGGAAATTGAGGATCAAATGCATAACAAAGACAGTGTGTGCTATCTTTAAAAAACAGCAGAAGTTGACATTATTCCAGCTAAATTCCCAACAAAGCTGCTTTCATTCACAGATTTTTTTACTTGTTTGGTCAGGAACTGAAAATCAGCCCATTCATACTATAGATCAGCTCACTTCAAACGTTTGCACGCGTCACTCTGCTCTAATAAAATCCTCATTTACTAACCCATCTCATCAACAGAATCACCTTCCTGGGAACTGTTAGACAACACCTGACAAGTGAATTCAGCTGAACTTACAGGGATCAGAAATTCCCACAGAGGGAATTCATTTGGAAGGTTTGCATGCAGACAGATTTCTGTGACTAACTGGATCCCCCTAGGACTGATATATATACATTTAGCCATGTTAGGTGAAGTCTTTGTTCAAATAAATTCACAGATTCTACCAAAATCTATCTGCCGGACAAAGAGTAACATTGAGCTATGTTGAAATAGGCAGGTGAGAAAGAAATCCACATGTCATGATCACTAATCCTAAACCCGCCCATATAACTGTAGAAGGAGAGACATTTCCAAGAGGCAGAACTAGAACATTTGAGGAAAGAAAGCTGTCAAACTCCGGCCCTCTCTCCAGCATGTTTGAGATGTTTCCCTGTTTTACTGCACTTTACTAAAATTGTAGGCCCTTTTTTGCATGAGAGACTGTAATGAGTGCTGTTGATTTGGGCCTTTTCTCATCCCATGGTAGAGAACAGCGACCTTTCACAATTACTTTTCCTACATTTCTGACTAAATTAATCTTTTCCATCTTTCTGGGGTCATTTCCTTTCATGAAACATTGCTTCAGGTTGAGAATCACCCCCCATAAACCCTGATTATCATTACTGGGGGGTGAGTGTGGCCCAATGAAACCCCTCTTCTGTCCTCACTGGGGAGACTCACATGATTTGCTTTAGAATAATTATTTCGCAATAATCGCCTTTCATCATTGGCTGTTGCGCTATTCCAGTGTTTTTCAACCCCTGGTCCTCGGTACACTAGTGAGCCGTTAGTGATGGTCAGGTGTAGAAAATCATCCTATTTCACCTCATTGGTCTAAAAAGATTTTTTGATAAGGAATTAATCATCTGCAAATAATATTCAATTTTTGAGTGTGTGTGCTGTTCTAGTGACTGGTGGAGTAATCATGTAATAATTCCTTATGACTAGATTTTGCATATAATTTTGTATATTGAAGTGGACATGTTAAGAGCAATTTGAAAGAAGAAATATAAAATATGATGAAAATCATTTTTGTGTTTACTTGATTCCTATTCAAGACACTTAAGGTAAGATAAGAATAAAATAAGAATAACTATAGTGTTACTATAGATTTGTTTGACATTTTTGGTTGGTGGTGTGCCTCGTGATTTTTTCTATGAAAAAATGTACCTTGGGTCAAAAAAGGTTGAAAAACACTGCTATACTCAAATAAGATCCTGGGTTTGTTTGGAAACTAGCAGCCACGCAGTCAAAGCCAAAGACAACCCCAAAACAACCCCAGTGTGGCGGCTCACTGCCTCTCAGTGGCTGGTTTCCAGCTCAAATGTACCTTAAATCCAAATGAAAAGACTTTGCAGCAGAAGTTTAGCCCTGATTGATTGATTCCAGCTTTCAGAAACGATCTCTGTCCAGTCCATTTGGCTCAATGCTAACATTAGCATCCAGATGCTAACGGCAGCATCCTGCGTCTCTGTCCTCTAGCTAACACCTGTAGGCTGCGGATATAACCTCATTTTCTAACCTCACTTCTACTTGACCTGTAGTAATAACATGTGGATATGTTGTCTGTTCTCTGTGAATGATTCACAGGACAAAGTCCAGGCTTGTCACCGCCGGGACACTGAAATCTGCCGCTAGCTGAAATGGTAGAGGCTATCCCAGTAGCTCAAAATGTCGGAGGAAACATTGATATATGATGGGTATTTACATAATTCAGTCATGAAGGACCTACCGACAGTTGTGCTGAGCAGATAGCAAGCTGTGGAGGAGCATGTTAAGCGTTAGAATTTGAGTCAGAAGTGAACTTCGGCGCTTCACAACTCAGGAAGCCATCTTGGTTGTGATGGACTAAACCAACTTTGACAAATCAGGGGGGGGGTGGGACTATGACGTATCCACGGTCTGTTCACATTGACTGGTCTTTAAAATTAACGACATGCTGGCCTTGGATAACTGTTTGCCCAATTCTTTAGTTGGAAGCTTG